GAGTTCTGAGGATAAATTGAGCTGGTGCACGTAATGCGCTTGGCAGAGCGTTTGGCAGAGTGCTTGGCCGATGTAAACACGGATGAGAGCATGCAGTTCACGTGGTCTCATAGACAAATCACTTGCTTCCATCTGGTCCCAACTGTGTCTCTCAAATCTCCCCTCATCTGGTTATCACTCTTCATCCTTCAGTTCTGAGTGCAGGTAATATCTCCTTCGGATAGTCTTGACCCTACTTTGAGAGAGTACATGTTTCTTCTTGCCCTTTCAGACTTTTGTGGGTGTACTCCTAAGGACATTTGCTTTACTAAATTAAATTACTTGTTTACTCATCTATACTTTTAAGGAGACAAAAACTTAATAAGAGAGGAACAGTGCCTATTCACGCTTGACGTGGGATAGGAATAGAGCAGGAATTTCAGATATTGTTGAACAAAAAACCATGAGCATAAAATGTCAGACCTGATAACTCAGGATAGGAGTGATGAAGGAACACAAAGAAACTTGTCTGAAATAAAACAATTAAAATAGGGCAAGGGGTAAAAGAAGGATGGGAAGAAAAAGAAGCAGATGAGACAGAAATGTTTTGTAATAATTGGTGACAAAGGATTTTGTTAATGTCGGAGTCTTTTAGGGCAAGAGGTGATTTCATTCTCAAGAATCCACTCCAGAGTTACTCCTAGTAGTAACAAGTCATCAGAAGACTCTTTCCTCCTTCTTATATGAAAAATATATTTCTAGGCCCCTTGTGATGCAGGGACTTTTCCAGAAATATCTAGCTCAAGACCATATTGTAAGAAAATGTGGTGTTTGAAGCCTACAGATGTCAGATAACATCCTGCAAAAATAATGCATTTATTCTGCGAATCCGTCACATCGGTACAGTCATTACTGAGAGTGCTCCAACTTGAAATAATGCATTTTCATTTCTTGAGGTAAAATAAAAATTTTCATTCTAACAGAAAAGATGGAAGGAAAACAACTTCTTTTCAAATACCGGAAATTCGACAGTGGAACAACTCTGTTCTTTTCTTTAGTTTAATCTTCAAATTTTACAGAGAAACAGAGACATAAACTTCAAACATACTATGATTGTGTAGTCAGCCTTCCTCAAAGCAGTATTAAAGCAAGATGCTTGCATCCTGGATGATGTCTACTCAGAAAATTGAATTTTTTAATAATACCCAGCTCCCTTCAATCCCCAAAACTACCACCTTCCTTTGGACAGCAGGATTACCCTACTAGCCTCCTACCAGCCCTTACCTTCAGACTCACCCTCTCCAACTCATTCTCCACACCACTGCCAGGGATAGTTACACAAGCCTGACTTTTCACTTGGTTTTGCCCACATACTCCACGTTTTCTCCTGTTTCCAAGTCTTCACTCAGTGCTGTTCCCTCTGCCTGGACACCTCCTATCCTTAACCACTTAGACATCGCATCCTTCTCTCCAAGGGGTCAGCTCAAGAGTGACTTTCCCTGTGGGGGATCCATCCATTCAGTTCTCTCCAGGCTAAATTATGTGTTCTTTCATGTACTCATGACACTCTGTGCATCCCTCTACCCTAGAAACTCACAGAGTGATTCTGTAATGATAACACTTCTAATTCACCATTGGACTGTGAGAGGCTGACTATCATTGAGGCTGGACTATGTCTTGTTGATCATTATGTCCCCAGCTCTTAGTTATGTGCTCCTGGGGACAAAGGAGATACTCAGAAACATTTTTGAAATGAGCCCATAGCGTTATTATAAAGCTGCAAAAAGTATAGAAAATCTGGGACAACCCATACAATCTGAGGTCTCTGAGCAACCTAACTACAACTGCTGAGAGAACCAAATAAATCTGATTTAGAGATTTATTTTCCTTTTCTTTCTCAGTTTAATATTCAGGCTAGTGGGGGAACTAAAATAAAAGTGCCAAAAAAATTCAGCTGGGTAGTTAAACAGAATTACTCAGACTATTGTGAGCTACATTTCTTTTTTTAAGGAAATATATTAACACTTAGAGTAGTTAATATGTAAAGCAAATATTATTCATATCACGAGATCATATAGCTTACAATTTTATTCAACAAACATTTTCAGATCATTTTCTATATAGCAGACACTGTTCTAAAAATATCAATTCATTTAATTCTTATAACATCCTTAAGAGGTCATCACGACAAATTTGGAACTTTCTTTACTGTCTCATGATATTGGGCTGTCTCTTTCTCCCTACATCCAGCAGAAAGATCTGGAATCGAAGAGAATAATATCTACAGAACAAAAAATTCTTTTCAAATGACCTAAAAGGTATAAAAGATCTAATGAAGGAGATTATGTCAAAATGAGTCCTGCAATATTTATCATCTCTCTCTAATGTGCTTATAAAATATAAAACAAATGATAATTTGAATATTTGAGTGAATTTTTGTATGGCATTGGAGTAGCATATTTAAAATAAATCACCGGTAAATCCTAGACAGCGGGATTCCAGAAATGGAATCCTTTCAGGATCAAGACAAATCTAGGCTTATCACAGCATAAAGCAGATATCAGAACAATATCTTGAAAATATTCTCATTTCTCCTTATTGACACTTTTAGGAAAGACTGATGATTAATTGCAGGTAGAAAGTTTAAAATATGGAAGTATTGACAAGTTGAAGTGCCACCAAATGAAAAGTAATGGCACTGAGTACATAGGAATAGTGCACGGGGTCCATATTTATGGATTGTCAACAGCAAGGAATTTGCAGAGGTTAATGAATGCAGGTTGGAACTAAAGTTGCAACAACTTTCCCCATTTTGAAAAGAATAGTACAGGGAAGTGGAAAATACAAATATTAATAAATCAGAGGAACATATTATACCACAGGATAACATTAACAGATTTGTATCAATGACCACGAATGAAGACCCAGAAGGCCTACTTGTCAAATTTACTGATGACAGGAGGTCTAGAGAAACGGCTAATGCTTTGGAAAGAGCATCAGCATTTAAGATGATTTGGTTAAGCCTCAAATTAACAAAATGAAATTAATATGTGCATTTACCATTTGGGTATCTCTACGTACAGGCCACCTCTTCACCCAGGTCTTTTTGACCATCTATTTCTAATATGGCCTTTGGAATTCTCCACTCACTTCACCTGTTTGGCTTTCATCATAGCACTTGTCCCTTCTTCATATTCTTCTTAAGTAGTTATTAGTTGACTCGTTTCTAACTTCAGTAGAAAGTAAAATGCATGAAAGCGGTAACCTTGTTTAACTTGTATCTCTGAGTGAAATAAGAGCACTAAGTAAATATTTGTCTAAAAATAAAATGCCTATTTATTCCCTTCTCTTAAAAAGAAATTTGACTAGTGTGGATTGGGAAAATACCACAATAGTGTTTCTTGTGAAACATGACACTGTCGAATGATGGAAGCATCAGGCTGGGGTCAGAAGAACTGAAGATTTTGCCACTGATTCCTCACTTGGCCTTTGATAAACACTTACTTTCTCCAGGAACAGTTTCCTCATCTGCAAAACTGGGCCAACCTCTCAGGGGGTTTTAAATTAAGGAGCATGAAAGAATTTTGTAAACTGTAAAGAACAAAACAAACGTGAAGAATTATGATTGGGGGTGGGAGAGGGATCTTAAATAAAGACTCAGTATGAATAAACAGCGTCTTGTGACTTTTGAAAAAATAATTAGATACAAACATTGGTTGCATCCAAAGAGTAGTTTACATTTGTACTGGCAAACCATATTACTGTATTTCCTCCTAGCTGTATACCCTGCAGGATATTGGCAACTGTCCAGCAGAGGGGCACTGACGTAAAAGGAAGACCAAGTGAAGGTAGGTTGTGAAGATAGTGTCATTTGAAAAACAATGGAAATAATTGGGGAACAGTGAACATAGGAAGCATGGAAGTGGGTGGGGGGAATTGTGATGCTTATGTGAAGGATTGTCACGTAGAGGATTTACTGCATGTAGCACCAAGATGCAAACTAGGAATTGGGGCTAAAAGACTGAGAAAGACAGATGTCAGTTTAAGACCTTATTTTAATGTAAAGAAGAGTTTTCTAACCTCTAGAGAAGTCCCATGATGGTGGAGGGAGTGAATTGTGGTCACAGCCAAACTAGGTGCAAACACATGAACAATATTATCAGAAGGCTTCTAATATTAAGCTGAAGTTTAGGCTAGATGATTCCAAGGCCCTTCCCATGTCCAGGATTGTAATCAATCAAATACAATGCTCCTATCATGGTTATTGAAAGTGAAAGGATCATGAACTCACACTCTAACAAATCCCAAAATGCTATCCTTAGAGACAAAATCAAGCCATGAGAGAACAGCAGGTGACATCAGTCCTGAGTCGATGAGAAGAAAGACCAGCGTGGTGTGGGCTTCCCCAGAGAGAGCCCCTCTTCTTGTGTACATCCTACTGAGAATCTGTTTAACGCTGTGAGGTATGTCAGTGCCACCTCTGCTGGACAACATTAACTATGATCATATTTTTTACCCTTAGTGTCCTTCAAGGATTTGCTGCTGTATTTCACATGACACTTGCTGTTGCAAATACAAATTCCAGCCATATATATATATATATATATATATATATATATATATAATCTCTTTCTCCAGTTTGGGAAGAGGGGAGGAGGAGAGGAGGAGATGCCTTAAAGATTCATCAAGTACTAGCTGAGTTAAGTTGGCAAAGCCAAGCAAATGTTAAATGACTTGCCTGAAATGACTTTTGCATCGTCCTGCTTGAGGAACACAGTGGCTGCCCCTCATTACTTCGTATTTACCTGTCCCAGACAAAAGCATCTGCAAATCCTATATTAATCCTATGTTGCCAGGCTTGTCATGTGCACAGACCTACACAAGTCTGTGTTTACAGAAACTGCACTTGAGAAGTGCAGGAACAAAAAAGAAGTAGAAAAGAGGGAGATGGAACCCACGGATAAACAGGTTAATATCATTTTCACGACTTTTTTTTTTTTTTTTTTTTCCTTCTTCAGCCCCAGCTCTCCCGGGTGCGGGAAGAGGCTGTGGGCTGCGAACTCCGCGCTGGAATGAGGAGTCGTTGAGCCCTAGCCGCGGTAGCAGCTTCCCCTCCCGGTGTCCCTGCTGCAGCCTCTGGTGCCCAGTCCCTGGATGCTCAGCCTACTCCTCGCCTCCCGGTGCAACATCGCCTGCAGACACAGCCCCGCCGGCGGACTAGTTGCCCGGCGGGCGGGAGACTCGGAGGCATTGGCTCCGTAACTTTTCACGTCATTTTCTGCTCCTGAGCCCCTGGTCGCCTGTCCGCGCCTCCTCACGCCGCAGACCGCGGCGCCCATGGGGCAGGGGCCGAGCCGCTTGCAGCACTGAGCCGACCCGGACTGGAGCCCGTGATGTCCGGCACGAAACTGGAGGACTCCCCCCCTTGTCGCAACTGGTCATCTGCTCCGGAGCTGAATGCAACTCAAGAGCCCTTTTTAAACCCCACCGACTATGACGACGAGGAATTCCTGCGGTACCTGTGGAGGGAATACCTCCACCCCAAAGAATACGAGTGGGTCCTGATCGCCGGCTACATCATCGTGTTCGTGGTGGCTCTCATTGGGAACGTCCTGGGTGAGTGTCCGCCGGGCAGCCCCAGGTAGGGGCTGCCAAGTCCTCGCGCCCCCGGCTGCCAAGACCCCTCCTCCCCCCAGGGATGCACACAAAGAGGTGGCTGCTCTCGGGGTGGGGTTATGTTTTTTAAAAAAGTTTTCTGATTTTACGAACCAGGACCGAGCCCTGGAATGGTGATCCCTTTTTCTGCAGGGAGCCGCATTGCCTTTGGGAGCACCAAGGTTCCAAGCGCGGGGAAAGGGACAGAGGCAGGGCTCTCCAGGTGGATTTGATGGAGTGTGGGGGAATTAGTCATCCTTTTGTGTAACGTGGACGAGTGTTTCGGGGGTGGGGAGAGGTCAGGCTGGCAGGATGAGAAGCTGTGCCCCTTCGGAGCAAGCTCTCCTGGGCTGTGGAAATCACAAAGGATTTGTGAGCCCGGTACAAGTGCCCTTTGGCGAGGGGTTGAGGCTGAGTCCAGAGGCGGTAATGAAAGGGCAGGAAGTGGGAGCAGAGGCAAAGCAGGGAGGTGCACTCATGCAAGGAAGGTGAATTAAACAGGAGCCAAGCCGGGAGCGAGCAAGGAGGAGGGGCCTCTGAGAAAAGTACCAAGGAAATCGCAATCATTCATCCCTCCATCCATTCATTCATTTATCCACTGTACCCATGTATTTTCCAGAGCATGCTTGTTTCCAGGCTCGGGAAATATTTGCAGCTGATTTCTTTTTTTCCAAAGACTAGACCAAGCTTTGTGCTAGGTTCTCACTATTTGTCGCTGTCTAGGTTGGTATGCAAGCATAAATTTCCTCTCCCACTCCCCACCTCTGCACAATTTCTGAGGGTTGAAGAAGCGGTGCCGTGGCTAGATGGTGGCTGTGGTGATGGAGTTTATTAGGGCAGCTGGGAAATCGACTTAAAAAACAAAAAACAGGGGCTTTGGAAGGGAGGGACGATTGAACATAAATTGCGAATGGAAGGAGCGTGCACCTAGATGAATGGAGAGTAGGAGGCGTTTAAATGCAGAGGGCAGTGTGGAGGGAATCTCTGTGGAAAATGACAGGAGATGGGGGGGGGGGCTAGGAGAAGATGCTCTAGATTTTCAGTTACAAAAAGGGGGAGAAGATGAGCGAGGTGGAATAGGCTGGGAGGTGTTGAAGTCCAAAGTAGAGACTTTGTAGCTGCAGTGGAGGATGATAAGAGAATTATCAGGCTCTCAGCGCTAGCCTGATTTTTACCTTCTCTCCCCATATGTGTCAGTCTGGGTAAGAAGCAGTCACAGTAGTCCCTCGCCAATTCAGGAGGCAGAATAGTTGGTAGTATGTGACTGAAAGGCATTCCTGAGAGAGCTGGTAGAATATTATTTGACAAGAAAGATAAGAATCCTCTGAGAACTTTAGTTGGCTCTGTCTGTATATTTTTTCAGGCTATTGTAACTTTGTTGCAGTTTTTTAAAGGCAAACATAAAGGAAATGTTTTGATGAGGCAGACAAGGTGAAAGGTGGAAATACACATGGTTAGGACCAGTTGTAAGGTTAAGTCTGTTAATCATAATGCTTTTCTTGTTTCCCTTCTCCTTGTCATCCATGCTTAGAGTTACAATAATTAAGATACATGGCTACTAGCATAGCAACATTTCACTGCATTAAGCTAATACTTAATGATAAGTGAATAATCAAAATTGAACATCTATGAATACCTACTCTGTGCCAGACTCCTTCCCATACACTCTCTCACTTAACCTCAGAGTAACCCACATTTGACAGAAGAAGCAAGACTTAGAGAAATAAAATGACTTATTAAGGAACATCATTCCGATTCAGTTCCATTTCTTCTGACCTCAGGTCCAGAATTCTTCACTGATATTCCACTCTAGATTTAGAAAGCATACAGAGAATTAATTCTTTTCTCCCAGTGTCTGCAAGCCTATTAAATGTATTTCCTTTTCTCCCTTGCATCTATGCCCACTATTAATAAATTACCATGAGGGGTTAATGGTTCTGTGATTCTCTCCAACAAAAACCCACTGAGGGAGGAATGTTATTGCATTGCAGTAAAATTTTGACGTGTTTTTCAGGAATAGCTACAAATCATAATTATTTTCCTTCCCTAATTTTATTTTAGGCTTAACCTCTGTGATAAAATTTGCTCCTTTTCGCTGTTATTTTATTCTGGCTTGCACAGACCTGTGATGCATGGTTTTCATATCCTAATTGCATAGTTTAGGGGTGCATGTTTGCTAGCCTGAGGAGTGCTTTAGTCTCAGGAAAGAAACATCTCTAGTGTAGATGTTTCATAATGTCAAGTGAGAGAGCACTGTCCACAGCCCCAAGTGCTGAAATGTCCAATTTTATTCAACTTAAAAAAAAAAAAAAAGATATACTCAAAGCTCTTTGTTTTCATGAAACTGACAGCTGTTTTCCTCAGAAATGAATGACACTGAAATCCTCTCTGGCTGAACTGAAACCCATATTCTTTATGGACATATTCCCTGAAAGTTGATGAGGTTCAAGTTTGACATTTAAACAAATAAGCAGTGTCATTACTCACAGACAACTTCCTGCTCTTTTAAGTCACTGTCAAATTTGCAAAACAGATTAGATTGAGAATCACTTTTTTGCCCCCCTGGTATGTCATTTTATGCAGAGAACGGCAGGACAAGAAATCACATTATTCATGCAAGATAAAAGAGTATGAAGGTGAAATACCACCGTGTAAGCAGTGGATGTAATCACTGACCCTTCAGGTCTGCTTACCACTTGTACTTTCATGTAACTAACTACTTGGAAAATCTCAACCTTCTTGAACTTACAAATATAGTGTAATCAGTTAGCAGTCATTACTCCCACAATGTCCTTTTGTGAGAAGAATGACAAGATCTTGATCATACCTACCTATTTTTCTGCTCTCCATGGTGCCTCTCTCATTATATACCCTCCCCATTATCAGATGCTTCTTTCCCAAGCTAGAAAGCAGTTTATTGGAAAAAATGTTGACAAAAGTCATTCAAAATAAGGCAAAAAATTACTCTACATGCAATTTCATGATTATATGCATCCTAATAAAAACATATACATGTCTAATTATAGAATTTTAAATCCTAGGAAGAAAGATGGGACAGGTTCTTTCTGGAAGCAGTGTTTTTCCAGTATCTTCAAAATTATGTCACATATAACCTATTCCTAAGGACGTCTTGTACTTTAGACAAGTAGATGCATTCAGTTATTTGACCAGTACATTTTGAGCAATGTTATGTTTTTAAAATTAATGTGTGTAGGGGGAAAGTGTTCTTGGGGACACTCAAGGGAATGTGTTTGATGTCATTCCTACTATTCCTTGAGTAGAAACTGGATGGAGAGATGGGTTCTAGTCAGTTCAAGTGTTAAACATCTGGAGGAAATGAGCAATTCTCTGCTTCTCTTACTTCCACTTTCAAATATATGATTTTCACCTGGAATGCTTCTATCTTCCCTGTTGTCATCTTCATATGAAAAAATGAGGAGAACAGTCAACAAATGACATCAGTCCAACTGTGCTTCTCACCTCTTATGTGGCATTAGCAAGTTAACAAACTCTCTGAGCCTGTTTTTTTCCAACTGAAAATTATGGTTAATAATGCCTGCCTTGACTCACAGACACAGAGAATAGACTTGTGACTGCCAAGGGGGAGAGGTGGGGAGGGAGGGATGAATTATTGGGAGTTTGGGGTTAGCAGATGCAAACTATTATATAGAGAATGGATAGACAACAAGGTCCTACTGTACAGCACACGGAACTATATTCAATATCTTGTGATAAACCATAGTGGAAAAGAATATGAAAAAGAACATCTATATGTCTATAACTGAATCACTTTGCTGTACAGCAGAAATAAATACAACATTGTAAATCAACTATACTTGAATCAAATAAATTGAAAAAATAAATCCTGCCTTATAGAAATCCTATGAGGATATATATATGAGCATCCTCTACAGAGATATTTAGAGGGGTGTACACAAATATATATAATTTTTTCTTTTCTTGACACAGTAGACACTAAATGCCAATTTCTATCCCTTCATTCCCACTATTGAAATCTCTCCTTGGTGTGATTGGTAGCCATCCTGTTCCTCCATGGCCAGTCTGTAGCTCTGTAGCTCTTTATGGCCTCTACTCTGGCATTTTTCTCAATTGAGTGTTTTCATAAAAGCTGTTAGTGACATGGTGTTGGCACCTGTTACTATTCTTTTCCATACCAGCTCCACCCTCCCACCCCAATTAGATGTTTAGTGCATCATACTGACTACTTAACATTGCCTTCCCACCTCTATGTGAAAGTCATTCCTAACCATCATGATGATTTTCTCTCTTTCTCTCAGTTTACATTTCCCTGCTCTAGGTTCTATTAACTCAAGAGTTTCTGAAACGTTAGCTGGCCAGTCTATCACTACTGATGATTTAAACAGCGTGCCCGTACACACACACAGAGATAATATATTGATTTAACTCAGTTAAAGCACACTACCCATTAATAAATATATCTAATAAGAGTTAAACTAAACTGGGTAAGTGGGATGGGGGGAATACCTGTAATTGGATTGCTTCTTACAGAGCTAATCATATGCCCCAAACATGGCAATGGCAGAGTCGCAAGTTCACACTGCTCCTAAGTCTGAGACCTTTCTTCTCTACTTGTCTCAAAGCCCATCTCAGCTCTGTGGGTCTTTTAAAACCCACTCTTTCATACAAAGGAAGCAGAAAGAGGTTAGAGATAATACATTACTGATCTCTGACAAGACCCGATAGAAGTCATGAACAGTAACCGTAAAAGTTAAGGTTAGCCACTAAGCTTTAAACTTGTATGATTTTAGTTACAGAATGCAAAGCATGCTTACCTGAATAAGAGTTAAACTGACACCTCCACCTTTTTAGCAAATCATAGCCACTTAGTTTTACCGGGTAAAATAAATCATGTTTTTGACTTGAACAGAATCTCAGTGATAACTTTTAAAATGGCTCTCTCATAGATAACAGCAACATTT